CTTTTTAGTTTCGTACGAGTCTATTCTTCCTTTTCACATATATTTTCAAAAGTATTTTACACAAAATTAACTTATTCATTTATTTGATAATTTAAATATCTAAGATTGAATTATTGTTGCACTAATAATTTCCAATTTTCATTGTTTATTAAATTGGAGTCCAAGAGACTAATAATGACATTTAAGTAAATTTTGAAAACATTTTTAAACTACAGTGTTCTTCTCATCATTATGTTCCAACATTCCATTTCCTAGCAAATCTTGGAGAGAATTCAAAGTTGTAATTTGCTTCCAGACAGTTCATGGAGCAGAAGTAATTGTGTTTACAATTTATATTATACATATATAAATTATAGTTAAATGGCAGCAGGAATTAAATTATTAATTATATTTAATATTGACTTATTACTGCAAGTGAAGTGAAGCCTCTCATTGTTTTGCATCCTACAAAAGGATGAAAAATAACATCTATCTAATGTGTGTATCTAGTGTTTTAAAGTGCAACTACCACTAGAATGCAACCTTATATCCAGTGCTTGTGCTACCACTTCTGTATCAAAACAATACACAATAGAAAAAAAACTAATGCACCAGACAAATTTGAAACGCAATTAAGTTAACCATTGGCACCAATCATTCCATTTATAATACATGATTTCAAACTGCAGACTTGTAGGGTTATTCATGCGAATACCACACTGCCTCACTACACTGAAGAGATTCTCAAGTGGATCTTGGTTGAGACATCAAGTTACCAACAATGTCACTCCCAAGTCTCCAAGCATACTCGGTAATGTGGAATCAGCGTCGATATTTCGACACCATGCCTCCACCTTAGTACGAGCAGACTTGCCATCTGCATCAACAAACTGCCATGAATCCAGTTTCCTTTTCATACTATACCAAAATTCTAAATTCTGAGATGTGTTACACAGAGGTCTTCTATAAAAGTGAGTGTCATCAAATTTCAAATGATTAAAAGAATCAAAGAGACGAGTGATGTTATTAATAAATTCAGCCAAATACTTGGCCCCTTCCACACCACATTTATAAAGTGCATTAGCAACAGTTACACTCAAATCCTGAGCAGCTAACTTCACTTTCATTTTCATTTTAGGATAAATATGTTCATTTGTGATATTCCCCATGTTCTTATTAATTTTTTTTTTCCAATTCAAAAAAGTCCACTGAAAATTGCCATCTAGTTTCTTTAACTTCTCCTCAACCTGTTTTAAAAATAATTTTGTTGCTCAAAAGAGCTTTTCTTGTTGCTTTGAGAACATGAGGAGGATCATAAATTACAACAATTTTACAATTATTAATTTTTAAAATTGGTCTATCACAATTGCAGGTTTTTAAGGCCAAAGTTTTCAAGCAGCGAACGTTAGCTGGTGCCACAATATTAAAACCAATTCTTTGTAAAGCACCTGTGATATCCATAATTAACATTTCTAAATCTGTGGTTGAAATTGTACCATGAGACAAATAGTACGCTACAGGTTGCTTCCAATTGTCAATGAGACCATGAACCATAAAAACTAAAGTGTGGTCTGCGTACTGACACCTTCGTTGGGAACCTATATCTTCATAACCAAATATATAATTTTTGGACTGGCTAAATGTACAATTCTTCTGAATTGACATTTCATCAAAAATGAGAAAACAAATTTTTGAATTTGGAGTCATAAATTTTAATTGATCCTCTAAATGCTGAAGAAAAACATTGTCGAAGCCAACGTGAAAAGGAATTTTATTGGAAAGTTGTGAAGAGTATCAGGAGAAGGAAGTTACATAAACCTCCTGAGGAGTTTATATGCCTGAAGACAACAGTTGCAAAGGGCTCACAAAATTACCTTCACTTCTGTACACCATCTACGACCGAAAGGAGATTTTGATTTGTTGCTGAGCTGAGCCTTCAGGAGGCCATAAAACAGGGGCGAAATATGTTCCCCAATTTCATGTGCAAGGCTGCTCCATTCATTCTCATTGAGTAGATAGTAATTTGTCCCGAAGGAAATTCACACGCTCTTGCAGATGTTTGATTTGCACTCCTGAAGGTCACGATACATCAGAAGCTGACGACGAGGTGAGATTTTTCACACACGTTGCACCAACAGATTTAAGAACCCCACCACTTCATAAGCGAGACTGAGAGTGTAGGGTTGATGGTTCTGTCTTAGGATCATGAACGTGTTGCCAGATGGCTTTGTGACTTCAGGCAAGGGAGAAGTGGCCCATTTTCCTGATGTGCTGGATGTGACTATCTCTTCCTCACCTTCTGAGACAGGAACAGGCTGATCAGCAAGAGCTGTTGCACAGTGAGAATACAAATTAATTTTCATTAAAAAAAATATACAAAACATAAATCTTACTTCTATATTTGTGGGACTGATGTAATGGATCCATTGTTGTAGCCAATCTTGCAGAACCTTCTATAAAATAAATCAACATTTTAATATTACCTCGGTGAAAGAATTCAAGAGCACGAATATAATTAACAGCGATTTGGAGTTTATCATAAAAACTACAATTTTTCGTAGCCTGTGATTTTCCGTATTTTTAAAGGATGAAATGAAAATATACTCACGTGCACACGGAACTGCACAGTCTCCTTTTGGAGGCAACAGCAATGAAATCCTCAGCCCTGAAATGCGCACTGCATATACGTCTGTCACGGATCCTTTAGCCACTTTGGATCCCTGCAAATTCGCTCCATTTTTGAAGGACAAAGGACCTTGTATTTTTGGAAGGGAATCTGCGGAACGAGATTCCTTGCATTCGTTTTTTCGGTGGATTTGAAGCTCACGTGGCAAACAACAGCTAGACATCTGGAAACAAACAGAAGAAATCTTGCTCTACATTATGTAATAAATTCACGAATTTTCATGTATATTAGGATTTTATGATAATGATTTAATAATAACATTAAAGATTTAATACCACCGAAGTCTTACCTCTTAATAGCTTAATATGCAGAAACAACAACAACAAAAAATGCTAGTTTTCGCTGGAGTCAAAGACTGTCAAGGACACAACAGCGAAAGTAAGGCTGCCCGTCCCTCAAAAAATCTTTGTCCTCCGCGGACTTCGCTGTCATCGGTGACACTCGTTTACTCTCGGTAGCTTTCGTGTCCTTCGAACACTGTGACTGCAGGGCCTCCCGACGGGCGGAACCCCAACTATTCCTAATCATAAGCCCCTGATCCTGCTTCTCTGAAAGATATTTGCTCATTGCGTCAAAAGCAGAAAGTATATTCGGGACTGTTTCGGACTGCTGCTAGAACAAACCTAATGTTCAGTAATGCCTGTCTAAAATGACTCTGGGCATATGATTAAAAACAGAGATTTACTTATTTATTGCATAAAATTAGTGTTAAATGTTGTCTGAAGATGCATCTTCAAAACCTTGTGAATAAACAGGTACTCAAGAGCAATATTTTTTTCTTCAAAGTTAAACTTGTGGTGCTCCAGCAGCACATACTTTCTCGCGTTATTGGGGACAGCTTCGTATTATTGGAACACCTTAGCTGTTATTGAAAACGCCCAATTCAACCAAAGCGACTGTGATGCATATCTGCATTCATTTCGATAGTCAGGTGCAGCAATCATTTCTTACTTAGACAAATAAAAAACACGAATACATTCTAATGCAATTTACTTACAGAAGCGAACAAATAATTCAAACATACGCTGTCCGTTGGAATATTTTATTCTCACACTGGAAAACATACTAAACGAAAACTTAGCTGGTACTTAACAATTTGTCCTCGTTTATTATTTTTATTCTTATAGGCATTGACTCTACTGAAGTTAAACACTGTTATTTGAATTCTCGGTCATGAAACCAGACACTGACAAGAGATTTAAGGTTTATTTTTGGAGGAAAAAAAAGTAAAGCTTTCTTAGTGTAGAACACGGTGCGAAAACCTGTTGGAAGAGCAACGCCTGTTCTTTTCAACTAGTGGTACAATTCTTCTCTCCAATACTTTTTATTTATTGATCAGTTTTCATTATTCACCCCAACAATGAAGATGAAGATAGCGCAACGAGTTGTTAGAATTTCATGACAGCTGCGACTAAAAGTCTTACCAAATTATGAAAATATAATTCTCTCTGTTCGGATTAATTTGTTCGCTACTGTAATTTGCACTTATGTGCGACTTTATATTCTTTCGGAAATCACGTACTAATAAAGTTAAAAATATTCATGCAACCATGCTATAAAATAGCTGCTTGTGGCGAATCTTTTTAATTAAAAAAAACACCCGAAAATGCGACTAGGGCCATGTTTTTCACCGTCTATCATTACCTAAGTGAAGAAAATTTAAGAAAACATTTGGGTTTTTGAGAATGTTTTTTTAAACATTCAATCGCAAAATAACTTTTTTTTTTAATTGTACACGACCCTTTTTTGAAGAGCTAATTTTGTTCAACAGACTTTGTGAGCCCAAAATCTCTACCTCCGTTTTAAAATTTCCTAATTTTCGAAAAATCGGGGACGTCAAAAAAATGAAACATGCACCATTCTCCATTACATCCTTTCCACTATTCAATGAAATGTAATCAAAAAATTTGTAGCCATTTTTTTTTAACTTTGAAAATCTCACACGGGCGTCATGTAAAGTATCCCCAAAAAATAAAATTTGTCTCAGATTCCACTGTCTGGACATCAGCTAGAACGAGTGGGGTACAACAAATTGGAGAAAATAGATGGTTTATGCACTAGCATTGTGCAGGAAAAAGTTTTGCTGTCAATCGATCAAGGATCCATAAAACATGGTTGCTGGCTACATGTGATTAATTTTTTTTCTACATTCAGGAACGAATAATCCACTTTTTTCTGTACCAGAGCATAGCTATAACTAGTGTCAAAAATTTGCAGTTTTAAAGAGTACATATATAAAATATTTATGAGTACTTCATATCATTTGATTTCAAATGTTCTTGAATGTTTTAGTGGATTGTCTGGATAGTTGCTGATAAGGAAATACAACAAAAACAACTGGCACTTAGAATTTATTTATTTAAACTTTTCACTCGAGTACACAAACCAGAAACAAGCATACAACACGGGTCACTTATGGCAAGAACTATCCTTTGCCAAATGATCTGTACATCTCATTACAATGTCCAAAATATTACAACTAATTGAAATGCACATCTGACACAGCAAGTAAAATCTTTTGGAATAATTAGACCAGTGTAGAGCCTCTTATAATTCTACGACTACTACACATAGCATGACTTCCTAATTTCCTACAGCTATTGTAAAACTATGAGCAGGTGGTTAATGGACATTTACAAAACATTCAGATCACCTTACCAGCTACTCCATTTAAACATTTTAACCACATTAAACAAGAAGCTTTTCTATATTCCAGAGATAAAATGTGAAAATAGCTAAATGAAGGACCTTTGACATACATGCAGAATCAAGGACTTGTCTGTTAATCAAGTCAGGTACTCCAGGATACAAGTGATAGATTAATTTGTTGTCACTGCCACTGGAGCGGAGGAAACTGCACCTCCACTAGGAGACTGCTTTTTAGGCTGAGGATCTGCTTCATCTTTAGGTTCAACTTTGATTTCTTTTGCAGGGGCCTCTTCAGCAGCTTCAGACTTGCGTTCTCCTTCTCCATCTACAGCAGCTTTCGTGGTGTCAGGTGCATCACCTTCTGCATGAGGACCTGTGCTCCCTTTCTCACTGTATCGAAATCTGTCATATCGCCCTCCTTCTGCTCGTGAGTCCTCATCTTCATCAGATGATTTATTGCCAGGCTCCACTTCTCTGAGCAAATCTCCCAAATCTTTATCCACATCATCCCACAGCTTGTCATCCATTCCAGCTTCCAATTCCTGATCGAGCTCTTCTCCACCTTCAGCCGCATCCCCTCCTGCTTGGCCCCCACCACCTTCTTCACCTGCCACTTCCTGGGAGGCATCAGCATCACCATCTTCCCCATCTTCAGTGTCCTTCATTTCAACATCTCCATCCTTACCACCTTCCTTTTCAGTGGTGCTATCAATAGTTTTCTGTAATGAAAGTGTTATTTGCATTTCAGTATCTTATTACAGGTAACCTGAACAAGGAAAAGTTTCATACTTCAATAATTTGAAACAGAATATGAATGTGCATTACGTGCCACAAAAATTTTATCGTTATTAATTTCCATCAATAGAATGAATCAACAATTTCCCACCTCAGTCACTGCTTCCTTCTTTTTGTCTGACTTTTCTCCATCTGCATTCTCTTTGGTCTCCTTCCGCTGATGTACACGTTCAGCCTCACGACGAAGATTACGATCATCACGATATCGAACATATCTGGTCAAGTGAGGTCGAGATCGGCAATGGATAGACAAAGCTCTTTCAGGTTGATCTAGCCTTGGCAAGTACGACCTACACATCTCACAGAATAATACTTCCACCTTCTTGATGTACTCAGAACCTGAAACAAAAAAAAAAAAAGCAACAATGTTTCTCTAAACCAAATTACATTTTCCAACATTAAGACCATTCTTCATAATTTATCTTGTTCATGCAGTGTGAAAAATTTTTAACTATCATGTTGACCATTTGCTCCTGAACAATTACTGAAATTGAATCGCCTACATTAAAAACCAGTATTGCATGACAATCTCACGGTATAATAGTATTATGTTCATATAACAATAGAATCAAACAAGTATTTCAAATTGTATGTACTTTTCCGATTTGATATTTTACTGCATATATTTATAAAATACATAAAACCCTGATGACTTTTGGACAAGAAAAAACAACTAACCCAAGTTAGTTTCCGTCCTCTTCTTCTCCTCACTTTCCTTTTTGTCCTTGTCACTCTTGCCCTTACCCTCGCCTTCTGAACCTTCTTCGTCACCATCATCTAGAACGTAATTCGCATTACACCATTGAAGTTCATAACATAATTTAAGAAAAGAAACTTTCAAAACTTTTACCATCTACAGTTCCTACAGAATCCAAAGTCATGAAATTATCCAAATTCACTTCCTTATCTTCATCCTCAATACCACTACCATCATCCCTGGATCTTTCCCTGAATCGCATACTTTCTTTCATACGTGCTTCACGCTGAAAAGAATAAACAGCACTGAAGATTAACAGTCATTCTTTCAATTATATCAAACAAGGTGAGTTAATAAATTCAAATTCATTCCTAATGGAACACAGAATTTTATGACTACCTTGATGTGTTCCAAGGAACAAATATGATTTTCAAAAAGCATTGGTGATTTGAATCCAATTCGACAGATTCGGCAGTATGGCATAAGAAATTTCTTCATTGCCTGTGGAGGGGGAAAAAAATAAAAAAAATTAATGTATCATAATATATAGGCTGGCAGAAACATTCCCAAAGTAAGCATCTGATCACATACTCTATGATAATCTGATATCTGATGCTTTGTCTTAAATTGGCGATAGTTAAGTTTGCAGATTGGACAGAATCTAGTTCGAGATGACAAAGAACCTTGTGCTGATTCGTTTTCCTCAACAATTCTTTGCTTCTGCCTCTGGGTCATACGCATTCGAGCAAGTGTTTGCTTTAATTGTAGCGACTGCTTGCGCATTGCAATGATATGCTTTGAGGAGTACAAATGCATGGAATATTCCTGCAAAAGGAATTCATAATTAGATATTAAAATTGTTTACTAATGTTATAACACACAATCAAAACTTAACAACTAACCTTGAATGTTATACACCTCATAAAACAATGAGGACATGTTAGTCTAATAAATGGTTTGCCATGGAATGTAGTACGCTTCACTTCTTCACTTACTGCACGAGAATCTGAGTCTTGTTTAATGGTCACCTATAAATATATCAAAATTTGTACTTCAATAAAGAAAAAAAGACCATGAAAACCACAACCAGTAAATGAACAAAAATAGTATTTACATGAACTCCTCCATTCTTAGACTCAGATTTTTTGGGAGTATCAGCCTTATCTCCTTCTTTATCTTCTTCCTCCTCTTCAGCCTCCTCTTCCTCTTCATCAACCTCTTCACCTTCTTCACGTTCCTCCTCAGTTTTCACTTTCTTTTCTTTTTTTATTTTTGGTTTTTCTTCGACCTTTTCAGCCACTTCATCATCATCTTCATCCTCCCCTTCCTAAGAATACAATTAGTATAAACAAATCTATAGCCTGTTAGATAATTGAGGGACTCTGCCAGAGGGAGCTAACCCACGCAGAAGGAAAAAACATTTTTGG